ACCGAGAAGGAGGGATAGTTGATTAGAATGAAAAGTTGGGACGTACACTCTTCTAATTCGTCATATGAATTTACGAAATTACCCTCACAATCTACTATAATAGGTTCTAGAGCGCAGGCAAGAATCGTCTTCGCATGATGTTCGTTAATATTTATATTTTGAATTTATTTAAATAATAAAATGTTGTACTTAAAAAATTGTTAGTGTTAGTGGCAGAACATGCCGCAGGACAACCACCGAGTGAGTAAGTGAAGGATGCGTTTCTCTCCATTTCTAACAATTGGAAAGAGACAATTTTTTTTTTAAAAAAAATAAAAATAAAAATTTATTATTTGTTCAAATAGCTAATTCATAAATATTAATTGTTTATAAAACATTAAAATAAATAATAATTAGTAATTACAAAAGCTAAAGCTTGTAAAGTGATATTTAAGGAGATACATCATCTCCAGACAGTAGCTGCTCTCGAGCTTTTGCCTTGGCCGCTACTACCTTATCATGGTGGTGACTTTTGGTGTAGAGTCATGATGCACCCACCCTCGGTTAATAGTAATATAATATATGTCACATGAAGTCCCAGATTCGAACGACATACGCTATTTTTAAAACCCAATTCAGCTTGTTTGGTGTTTAACCACTTGGCAGATATAAAACCCTACCTGTGCAAGCACATATAAGAATAACACTATATCATTTTCTATTTGCTTGGGTGGAAATCTACAAACTCGCCGAGGAGACACTGCCTACCTAGCTTGAAAACCAAGATGAGTTCTAAAGATACAAATTGCTGCTCTAAGAGTAGTCAAGTCGTAGAAATTCTAGCGGCCTTGTTCTGGTGAGTTGTTGACACCATCATCGCTACCCCTACATATAAATTCCTTGCCAGCTAGTGGCTGCTCTCTAAGAAGTTGGGATGGCCATGAGTCTGCTGGCGTGGGATACCTAGCATGTGGTTTACTCACATGTGATGGAGGTTTGAGCATGGGTTGTGTAATATCAGTCGCCGGATAAGCTTGGAGATCACGATGCAGGGGAACAACAAGAACAGCAGGTGCCTGCTGTAATGCGTCGCCAGCAGGCATCCCGAGACCATGTCCTGGAAAATGTGACATCAATTCTGATTGCTGAAATTCAAGGGGAGGTATATTCAAGTCAGGTTTACACTGAGCCACCCTTGCTGCTATCTCATTCTGGAGTTTCTCAATTTGAGTTTCCAATGCAGAATTCTCCTCCTTCAATTCTTTCTTCTCAATGGTTACCTGTAAAACAATGTGTGAAAATCAGATCCAATGAAGCAGCAGAAATGCAGAGAATTTGGTTCTCAACAATGTATAGAAGACCAATTTATAGAAATTTCATAGGCCTTACATCTCGAGACTCAGAAATGAGAGATGCATTCTCCTTCTTAAGGGATTCAATCTGATCAAACAAGTCCTTTAGAAGTCGGCTTGTCTCACAGAGAATGGAAGCCTTTCCGTTGTTCTGCTGAGTAAGTTCTACGCAAGAAAACTTTGCAGAGTGAGATGTGACGAAACACCATCTTACAAATGAATGACCTATACTACCATTGAAAAACTGACTTCAACAAGAAAGGAAGTTCTATTGGGGGTGTGAAATTAACAAGGCATTTCAAGTACATGGTGACAAGAAGAAATAAAGATTTGAAGTTACCAAGGGCATTGCCCAGCTCAATGAAAAGCTCATTCAAATGCTCCCGCTTCATTTTCTCCCTCTCTGCCTTGTGAACTCTTTTAGGAATTTTCCCTTTGCTTGATCTGCAACATAAATAAATTTCAGACACCTAAGCACGCTAAACTTCACTGATATAATTGGTACGTGAGAATCCACTAAAATTTCTTCAAATTTAGCATCACTATTGATCACAACCAAAAACAGTATGATCATGGAAACAGAGCTAAACGCACATGAAAAAGTAATAATAACTGTAAGCCATGAGTGCCAACAGGTAATCTTAATTCTTTACAAATTAAAATCCCTTGATAAGAAGAATATTGCGCCCAAGAATTAAAAGTACAAAAGAGGCCATGGTGAGAAAAGAGGATGCTAAAACTGGATTTTGTACTAAAATAAACACATTCAGAAGCCTGGTCCAGTAGATCATAAACTTAAGACAGTGACCATCAACTTAAAGATTCTATTCAGGCATAAAACTATCAGGTGAAGAAAAATGTTGACGTTAGCAGTTTCATCGTCTACAAGTCCATACTCATTGTTTCTGTTTTTTAAGCATCAACAGTGCAATGCAATCAGAAGATCAATAAAGACAATACTTAACAAAAAGGTAAAATCTTCAAGAACAAACCTGTTATCCGACACATTTGAGGGTACATAGACCTTCTCGACGTTCTCCGGAGCAGGAGTCTCCGAGACCATGTTGGAAAATGAGAAATATCAAGCAGAAGTCCCTGGAGTAACAAGAAGAGCGTTAGGATTAAAAACCTTCTTGTATAATCAGAAACCATCTGACAATCAAATCGAAAAGAGAAAATGAAATACAGATATCAATTAGCTTCCTGGCCCAAGTTGATCAACAAAAAGTAATCGCTTGAATCATTTACATTCAAATCGTAATTCCTTCTCTATCATCCATTAATAGAAAGCATTCTTACTCTACAATAATATTAGAAGCTTATTATCTAAAACTTTTTAGATAATAAATTATCTAAATTATAACGACAATAATTTGACATATTCAAGTTTATCTCGTCCCCGCAAAATTTGAAGAAATAGATCCGACAAAAATACAAACATTTTATAGATTTTCTATGAAAGTCAATACGTTTCAAACTTCCTCCAGATAATCCACAACTTTTCTTTCTTTTCTAAACCATTACTTTCAAGTTTCTAACCCTCTCGGCCGCTTTCTCAGCAATCAAACAGCGAACGCCTTATAGACACGAAATTGAAATACAAGTACATTCATACGCGAGCAAACAACATCGTCAACGAGCATGTAAGTACATAATCTATAAATCCTCGTTTACAATAAAAAAATAAAGAGAGAGGGAGACCTACCTCTCAAAACAGAGACGATTTTGTAAGGAATCTGATCTTTAAACAAAGAAACAAGGGGGAATTTGAGAAAAATAAGTACGTAAACAAAGATTCAATGAAGAAATTAGGGCTCGTATTCAATCTTGCGACCAGGGAGGGTGTCAACTGTAAAAGGCCGAGGGAAGGCGTGTGGCGAGGGAGGAAGGCGCGTGGCCACCAAATTCCCTTAGAGCGCATTGAACCGGGACAGATCAGATGGACACGTGCTCTTCGTTTTCTCGCTTTTGTCTTTTTATCGTTCGTTTCCTTCCACGTCATCAACCTTCTTTTGCACCCGGGACACGTCATCTAGAGATTCGAGAAGGTCTTTTTAATAATAATAATAATTTTTTTAGAATCAATGAATATAAACTCTCTTTAAAAGTACTAAAACAAGTTTAAGTTAATCTTGATTTGCGACCCCCATGCCATATTAGGAACAAATTAGAAACTTAATGGAAGTTATTTGCAAATCAATAACCATTGTTTCTTAAATAATTAAAATTAATTATCTAATTTAAAATATCTAATTATTAATAATGATAATTACCAATTGTCTGATTAATTTTTTAATTACATTAATAAGTTTTGTTAAGTTAAACATGGATAAGGCCACGGGGTCGCGTGGCATCCACGGGAGGGCATACGTGATCAGGTCAACAATTTTAGTCTTCGGCTGCGTCACTGTTAAGATGCAGAGCTGGATTAAATTAGTTTATATATTAATTTTAAATATTTAAATTAAAATCTGTATTAATTTTTTATTTTTTATTTTTCTACTTTTAAGAAATATAAGTACTAATTATTAATATAATTAGTAAAATTGTCTTTCTTCCTTTATAATGTTCTGTGTTTGCTGTTAAGTTTTCTTTTTAAGACAAATCTGGGGACATGGAGAAAGTTCAAGCTTAAAATTAGATTTTTTGTTTCATGGAAGCATTAGAAGATGAAATGGACAATGAAATATCATGCTTCTACTTCTCATCGAAACTCAGTTTCTTGCACAACCGAGTTGGAACCTACGAACTTTCATTTTTCCATCCAAAGCAAGCGCCAATAAGTGGTATTCCTCGACGTACCAGAGTTCAGAAACCACTGCCTGAATCACAAACAATAGCAAAAACACCATCATTTAGAGCCATTCGAATTTAACTGAAAATGAGACATTAAACAAAAATAATGCACTTTCCAGCAACCTAATGCTTAGTATGAATTCCTCATCCAGTTTATTGTTTCCAGTGCAAGTAAATTGGTAAAGATCCTTGTCCAAATAATGCTATAACAACTGTGCTACACTAAGGAACAGATTAGAAATTTTCAAAAGTAAATTGAAAATTGAAATCGAGAATTTTCTTCTATTCTGATTACCATCTTCTCAACTAATGAAGTTTCACTAACTCCCTCCAAGCAGAGTATTTTATTCATCAAATTTGAATCTGTAACTAGTTACTGTCAAATTTATGAAAGCCTTGTTTCTTAAGTAGCAAAAGTAACATTCCCCATCAAAAGATTTCTGACTCCAATCAAATGGTTCGTCATAAAGAAGTTATTGTCTGTTGATCCCTCTCTAATATCAATATGTTGATCCCTTCCCAGTTTTGGTTTGTGTAAGGGTAAACAGAACAACAGTGAGAGCTAACAATCACCAAGTTATATAGCATTGCTGTCTTGGAAAAAACGTAGAATTTTACATTGATCATCATTTGTTGAAACAATTCTAACATCCCCATGACTTTACTTTTCAAGCTATTGGATTGGCCTTTTTTTATTTGAATGACAAAAAAAAAAATAATCAAATTTAGTAGAAAAAGGTACAAAAGCATAGGATGAGAAGTCCTCCAAAACCAAAAAACAAAAGACAGGAAAAAAACAGGAAAGAATCACCTAAAAAGATCAAGACAACACTGCATCATAATCTGTCTGCAAATAACCAAAAAGACATCCAAGGAACTCACAAGAAAGTAAAGAAAACTAATATGCTCCATGGGAAAAGAGGAAAACAAAGATCCTTGATAATTCTAGCATTCTGCTCCAACCCGAAAACCATTAACGAGCAAAGATAGATTCTCGCCAGAGCAGAGTAGGTTCATTCTTTCCCCCAACCCCCCAATTGATGGAGAGAGGAAACACTCAAGGGAAAGCGGGTGTGAGGGTACCCACGTAGTGCCAAAATTATCAAAAAGTATGGACCAAAATCTTCGAGCCACATCATAAAGCCAAAATAGATTGCAATTAGATTTGCTTATTTTCTTGAGCATACAAGCCCTTAAAATAAAATTTGTCAATTGCAATGGAATATTATGATAAAAGTTTTGGTTATGTTGCTAAAAGACCAATCTAAACAGTCTCAGTCTAATTGGTCTCAGTCCATCTAAAAATTCCAACTTGTCTCACTTACAAAGCACCAAACAAAACTACTGCATAAAGGATGCAGTAAGTGCATCCCAAGCAGCCAATGACCAATATAAAAGATGTTGCAAATATGCAAAGGGAAGTTGAAATAATAAAGTAAATAATGATAAAAATATAAAGCTTACCTTAAATCCACTGATTTGATTGTTTAGTTGAGTAACCAGCTCATGAAATAACAGGAGTTGATCTGAAGACTTTGAAGGTTCCTGCATATGCATGAATGAAGTAGACTTTAAGATATTTTCTTTTCCAGCTTTTTATTTTTGTTTGGGATATGTATAAACTTATCATTCCCCAGTGATTGCAGATGAAGTTGCTACTATCATGAACCTTGGAACTTGGAATGACACATGAATGAACAAGTATTAGAGAATAGTTCGAATGCAGTACCATTGCAGAAGGTCTAGGAGGACCCAGAAGCCTTGCGAATGATGTGTGAAGAATGGCAGGATCATACTGCACGAAGAAAGATATTTCAAGTGAAATAAACAAAAACATTTTTTTTACATAAATAAGTATAGATATCTTTTTTAGACCACAGGGTGAATGTTTTTGTAATCTGAAGTTCAGAATCATAAAAAACATTATCACTTTGAGACATGGACATTTCCTTCTTATTGACCTGATAAGTAGTAACAATAAATTCTTAAGTTTCTTAGTTCTTACAAGCTGCTTCTCTGGTGCATGTGGAAGTGCAGCTCTCAGTTTAGCACGGATAGTTATTGGATCTGTTCCCGATTTCACCTACAGAGATATAATTAACTAGATGAGTACTTACATGAAAAGATTTCATTCCTAATTAATCTTTCATGCGAACACTACACATGTGAGGCTAATATTAACATCCATTTTCATGAAAAAGAAAAGTAGCTTAAAAATGAAAAGAATATCAAAATATACATATGCTAATGAAAATCCATTTACAGGAAAGAAAAATAGTTCACATGCAAAGGTCTTTAAGCCTAACTAATCTTCCATGCCAACACTAGTCATGTGAGGCTAATCTGAACATCTACTTTCATGAAAAGGAAAAGTAGCTTAAAAATGACAAGAATATGCTAATGATAATCCCTTTACAAGAAGTGATTGGAAAATAGCACGAAACAGCAGATGCAATTCAAGCACAATCTACAACTTTATGGGGTATATTGAAAATCAAGGGCATCATCGTTGAGACAGCACGAAGAAGGAAATGGAGAAAAAATGCAGACAGTGTAAAAACTTGCATAAAGCACCTGCCAGCAGCCCAGAAGCACACCAGTTGAAGTTAAGATCACTCTGTCCAAAAAAATTTCCAAGGGGCATAGCTCCGCTGCAGCAGATTTGACAGCAGCTGCTTCAGCACCAATCTGAAAAACACAAGTTTAAAAGTTAAATTAAAGTTCATAAGAGGATAGCTGAAGAAACATAAAATCACTATGACAGGCTATTTACCTCTTGCTCGGTAGCAGGAACAGGTGAAATGTGATGTGAGGCATGAAACATGCTAAAATGATACAAACTAGAATTCTGAAACCAGATCACTAATAAAAACATATGTGAGTAAGTGATATTAACAGGTCTAAAATTAACAAATTCAGAAATAGACAAATAACCTAATTTCGTTCTCCTAATTTCAAGCATTTTATTTCTTCCCTTCTCTTTTTTTGAGAAACTGTTCCTCAGAAGTATTAGATTTTCTATAAGAAAAAATACCTATGAGAAAGACACCGAAATGAATAAATAAGCCAAAGACTAGCCTACCTTTGTCAAAGTATGGATCAAATATACGTTTGACTGTTTCCCTGCACCAAAGCAAGTATTGACACATATCATGTGTAAAGCAAGAAAAGAAACAAGAAAACAAAATCCCATAAATATGAGACATCAATATAAAAAGATAAAGCAGAATCTGAATTGTTTTCCTAACATATGTATTAAAGATTATCTAGACTTAAGCGAGTATTATTCATAAATCTGCAGCACTGGCTTTTCAAGCCATTGAACAGATATTAAACAAAAGAGCTCATGAATCCACAGCGCTGGGCTTTCAAGCAATTGAAGAGATATAAAACAAAAGAGTTGCAACATTTAAAATTTATCTCATCTTCCATGGTTAGTTACCTGCTGAACCTGTATCAGGGACTAACTATCTTAAAGGCTAGAGTACTAGTGAGTTTCGGCAAATCAATGAGCAAACTTATTCAATTTATCCAACATTGAACTTCAATTTATTGAAAGAAAAATAAAGGCAGGAAAAGTGAATGCCAATCAGGAGGCTACAACAGCAAGCAATATATGTCAATTTCATTATATATAACAATATAGAGATTGATTTTTTAAGAAAACTAAAGAGACTGATGCAACCAAGAAATCAATAATCACATTCTTCCCAATTATTCAAAGAGATACATACATGAGAAAAGAGAAGCATAATTCAATGGGTAAAGCAATTCAATTAAGCACTCACAAAGACTCTCATCAAATTAAATTTGTTCATCAAAATGCTCACAAAATCCCTGTTTAAATGTATGAGATTTCCTACACAGAACTTGAGGTGATTGATGATTTTTAATATAGTTCAAGAAGCAGGGGAATCATATCCTTTAATTTTCTTTGTCAAGGCAAAACAGCTTGCCAAAAGCAGTGATATCTATTACCAGATGCCATGCTTTTTTGTTATAACCACGGTAAATAGCTGTCAATCCAGCATTTACTAAACTGAGTTGATTAATGGTATAATATTGTGACAAGTGAACCTTCCATTTATGGCAAAGAACCAGCTCCTCCACAAATCAACAAAGCATACATGTTATGCCTCCTAATGCAGGAAAAGCACCAAATACAGCACATATTTTGAAGCAATGGTTTTGTCAATATTATAGCCGGAACATGCCCTTAAAGTAAGTGATATCTTCTTCTGTAATAGCATCACAAGAGTCCAAAAAGTTGACTAGTTTGAACACCAACTAAAGACAGGAATTTCAGTAACAGATAAGAGGTTCCTTTTACGTGCACTTCAAAGGAGCCCTTTCTCATGTTATCTGCTTACCATTACCTTGTGGTAAACTGATATCAGAATTTACCTAATTTCTTAAAATATCTAATTTTAGGAACAATATTTTATCTCCGAGAGAAAAAGGACATGCCCAAAGCACCTTCAACCCGAAATTTAGCTTGAATCACCTCCCTCTAAAGCTGATCCTAGCAAGTCATAAATCTCAACCATTTGGCTGACAGTAATTTATTCGTCTCAATCAAGGATCTGATGCCAATTAACAACCCCCCCCCCCACCCCCCCTTCCTTTAAGGGGTCGTTTCACTAAATTCCAAACACTGAATGATAGCTACTATCTGAATTACCCCACAGAAACCAGCACTGATGTGCCCTCCAAGGCCTTAGCCACCAAGGATGCGGCTGGAAAAAAGCATACAAAGAAGATGTGAACATTGGGTAAGGTGCTAGGTTAATCTCCTGCTTTTCAGAAGAAACTTCCTTTGCAACTAGCCAACCTCTTCTCCCCCTTCATCATCACAGGATCCCACAAGCTAATTTCTTTGAATCTTGCAAACAGTGGAAAATCCAAATATTTCAATGGAGACTTACCAATTTTACCTGAGAACAGAGCACCGTAGTCCACGTTTATGCCTTTCCTCAAAGATAGGAATTGAAATTTATACAGATTAATCCCAAGGCTATAGACAACTGCAAAACAAACCAAAGTGCATCTCAGCTTCAGCAATTGGTCCCCGTCCAGCTCCAGAACCAGAGGGAATTGTCAGCAAATAGCAAGAGGGTCACCCCATTGCATCTGTTGCCACTTCCAACAGACAAACCTTGAATGGTGTTATTACCTTAGGAACATCTTCTTAAAGGCCTCTTTACAAGAATAAAGAGCAATGTTGACAAAGAATCATCTAGCTGTAAGCCCCTTGAAGAAGAGAAGTCAACTGGCCTTCCATGGATCAAGATTGCAAAAGAAAGGAAAGAAATGCAATGATCAATTCACTTCCGCCATCTCTCTCCATAACCCCCCATTCTTCGAGACATGTACATGAGGAAAGATTTTTCTTTTTTGAATAATGTACATGAGGAAAGATAATAATACATAGTCATTGGCTTTCTCTACATCCAACTTGCAAATAAGCCTCCTCTGCTCTTACATAACACCAAATCAACCACCTCTTTGGCAACCAAAGCTACATCCAAAATTTACAGCTTCTCAGAAAAGCATTTTGAGCTTTACTGGAGAGGACATAGGTGACCAACATATATGTGTTGCTAACAATATTGATTGGCTTCTCATGCTTAATCTCCTTTGCATTCTCCTCATGGATCTTCAAATAAACCTAGAACATCATTACAATATACCTCTTGGGTTTTATCCCCATTACAGTGCATAAAGCTACCTTCTCCTTCTTTTCAGTAAAAGCTGTTACCAAAAATACAAGATCTTCTGCTCCTAGGCTCTAGAAAACAATTTTTTCTGGACTAGGCTCCAATCCTCCAACACAAATTTAAAACTATGTAGAAATCTTTGACTGCCCTCTTTAGACCATTTTCTATCATGCTTTGTCCCATCAATAACCATATTACACAAGAAGTTTTACCTATGATTATAATTAACTATCTAATGAAAACATTTCATCTTGTGGTTCCCTTATTTAACCAACAACAGTCTAGATCTCTGCCTTTGTGCCACTTCCTCCACTAGCATCCAATTTGCAATATCCACTTTTAAAATCTCTCTTTCTATCCTCCTTGACAGGCTGAGTCATCTATCTTTATCCATCTTTTAGGAATATTATTTTATTATGAACTTGATAAAATTTCCTGATTTTTAGAAGTATATTACAACCTCAAATAACGAGGAGTAGTAAAAAGCTAATCACTCCACTGATTTTAACTAATAAAATCATCTATTTGGTATGTTGCAATTATAGATTTCAAGAACATAACAAACAAAAAGACAATGGAAAACAGAAAATGCTTACGAGATACGCATCGAGTATTCTGAGTTCAGATACAGTACATTAGCTCGTACAGGAGGGTTTGCAGCCTACAGGACAGGCAAGCTGTGATTCGCTTCCTAGAATAAAAGAAATTGCAAAATTTTCATTTCTCCTTAATATTACCTTCAGAACAGGTGTTACAGATTCATCCTTCAAAGTGAAGAGATCTGAAAGTGACAATGACTGAGATGTTTCACCATGTTGAAGAAACTTTGGTCCATTCTCATCTAAATCCCTTTCCATTTTATCATACAATTTTGTCCGTTGCTCCATACCTGGGAAACCAGAAGAGGCTTGAAATATCTAAGAATTCAGTACAATATACGTAGCAAAAGCCATATATCAAAAGCCTCCTAGATAAAAATCATAAACCAAAGTCAGATGATATTAATGTGATAAATAAATAGATGTCAGAAACAGAGCAAAATC